ACCCTATCTGTACGCCCTGGGGTCATTTAGTACCCTCGGGGTTGTATTCTTCACATTTTAGAACACTTCTAGTACGAAGATCTCTTTGAAACTTTCAGTATTTCGAAAAAAATCATTTTGACAGGCTGCTATGCAAAGCCTACGGATCGGATTTATGAGTACATTTCCTCTTTGTAAAGTGGTGGCACAGAGTTCCCCACGTCGTATGGATACAATCGTAAAACACGACGCACGGATAGGGTTAAGTAGAAGTGTAGCTGGATTGTTTGTTTGTTAGCTTGTCAGCTGGTTGGATGGTTTATTGGCTGGAATTTTGGTGTTGCTTTCCGTGCGTGGATATAGAGACATTTTTACTGTGTTTCTTCCTAGTTGGACGCTTTTCAAGTCAGATAAGTACAACCCCCCAAAAAAATGTTTGTCTGAAACAAAAAAACACACTTCACAGTTTTTATATATTCTACCATATAAACGTCTTTCTTATATTATTATTGGCTAAAAGGGACAAAATGTTAGATATAGATATTTTCAAAAAATATGTTGAGTTATACCCCATGAGGGCTTCATTTCTTGGTCGCTTTTAAGGACAAAGCGGGCTGACCCAGATTTCGGGGGGGTTCCAGAAATCTTGACCTACACAAAAAATGGGCATTGCCCTACCTATAGGAGAAGTTTGGTTCCATTTGTGTGTGTATTTGTTTGACTATAGAGAAAACTTTCCTTGTCTTTTAAAGAAAAAGAGCAAGGGGCAAAAACTTTACCTTCGATTTTCTCCAAACAGCATCGGGATAGCCCCCCCCCCCCTTTCCTTGAGACTGACCACTTCTGACACTTCAGTTTAACAAAAGGGGGAAAACAGCAGGGTCCATTATTTCCTTCTAAGTGCCTCAAGCATTGGGCAACAGATGGTTTCCTATAGATCTACAGGTGCCGCTTTCGCACTGACACCTCCCTGAGTTGCTGATCCTAAATTTCGTAGGTTCAAAACTTTAAACTTCAGATACAGCACTTATATATATGACCTTATTGTGTTGCAAGTGCTTTAAAACTCTTACAAAAATGAAAAAAAATTCCAATTAACTTCAGATTTCTCTAAATCACCCATATGCCGTTTTGCCTTTCCCCCCAAGCAGTCTCCAATATTGTGTTAGCCACGTGCAGTCTCCTCTCACCTGGATTGACCGGTGTCCACTCCACCTTGTAGTCCCCGTCAGGCTGTTGGATCAGGCGGGCAGGGATGTTTTCCCCATTGGGGGTAGTGATGGGCGATGCGGGAGGGGGAGGGTGTGAGGGAAAATATAGGTAAGTACTCAACTTTCAAAGAGATGGATAATGATAATATACGAATAAAAGTTCTTATATCAACAGCTTACATGGACATTATATTACTGAACATTCCTGCAATACAAAAACCATTAATAAATGTGTTAGATTACAACACAGATAGGTATCTTTTCAGCATAACAAAATCAATATAATATACATGAAGTGTAAGACATGTGCATCAGCACAGGTGGAGAAATAGACATAATTGGAGATGGGAGGTGGGCAGG